GACAAATGTAAACATTGTGATTTCTCTGGAAAGCTGTCCATAAAACTAGACAAGAGCTATACACCAAAACCACTTTGTTAAGCTGAAGTGGTTTTGATGCTTAGAATGTCAATTTCCAAATGAAGAGTAGGCCATCAAGATTATTTTACACATTCTTCTGCCCCCTGGCTCTGCTCTTCTTTCCTCTGCTTGAATCACAGACCCTGCCCTACCCTTTATTTGATGCTCATCTCTCTTTCCCTCGCATATCCCTGTATTTTTTGCGTCACAAACTGGCTTACTTCTTCACTTACTCTTAAAAAAAATCCCTAACTTTCCTTTATCATCACCAGTTTTCAAACCTTGAACTACTTGATTATTATATTTTATTTTCAATATGCTGTTCCCTTAATGCATTGCCAGCAAGTGGCCTGTATATACTATAGAGTTTTCTCATGTATTACACAGCTTGCTTTGAGACTTGTTCCAATAGAATTCATTGATGAGGTTACAGGAAAACTAATTATTTTATGATTATTGTAAAGAATTATATTTTAAATAGTACATGTAGTTAGACTGTGTATTATTTCAACAAGTTAAAATAGCTCCTTACTTACTCTTGTTCTTACATGCCCACTGTAGTGGTTAGGATTCCAGGCCCCATTTTCTGGCAATTGGTTTGGCCTCTTGCCTGGTCTTGACGGGTGCTGGGTCTCCTCTATGGCTGGCTGTGTTGTGCATCAGGCTTCGTCACAGCCAATTGCCGATCCTGCAGGCTATTCACTGGCTAAGAGCATCAACTGACCATTCTCAGCCAATGATTGCAAATCTGTGCATAGAAATATGCACAAGATTGACATTGGTCAGCCTGGAACTAGCATTCCAAAGACGCTGCACATACAAACTCCAGGCACCAAGAACACTTCAAAACTGTTTGGAGTTAAGATTTTACTTCAATTTGGTCAGAAGCAAGACTTGTTTGCAAGCAAAACGCAATGTCAGAATTCATGTGTGAGTAGTAGCTCTCAATTAACTGCATGTTCTTTGGACAGAAACGCAGTATGTCTGACAAAAGATGGCTGCCCCCAATTGACAAAGGTAACAATGAAAATTACTATACATGCAAGTTTTATATTCTGCATATATTATTTATACACACACACACACAACCAACAAAAAATACTTAAAAGAGGTTCTTAAAGCACCATAATCACTACATTTGCCCCAAACTTTAGGTCTCGATCCTAAGTTTAAGAACCACTAATGCAAAATTAATCATTAGGCCAGCACAGCTAGCCGTAGGAGATATAACATGCCAAGCATGCCTATTAGGTGATTTGAAGAAAAAAACTATAGATCAATTTAACCTTTATATATTACATGGATTAATGACTTCCAAGGACAGAAAAACAAAACAGAGTGAATTTAAACGTACCTGGTTTTTCATCTGCAGTCTTTCTCACTACTTGTAGTTCTTTCTCTTCTAGCCGTCTAAATTCTTCTACATATGCCGTCTCAGATTGATGTCTAAGAGAAAATGCACATAATAGTAGGCAGAAAAAAAAAAATGACAGATGAGATTTTACATTTGGATATAAATAATTTTGATCAAAAAGATTGCAGAGAGAAGAAATAGGAACACGGAATATTCAACCAAACACCACGTTTACCCACATTTCGATTCTAAGCCTGGGTCATTCTACATTAATAAACTGTCTATTCTGTGCATGTCAGAGTGGATGTGAATGGCCTCCAGGGATTTTGTTTAATTGCATTTATTGATAAAGAGCAACTGTGACATTTTATGAACATTCTTCTTTGCCCTTATCCAAATGAATAAAGTGAGGCCAGAAGCACCAATGAAGAGAACGCAAATGATATATACTTGTATGGGTGAATTTACATAGGAGTAATGTAGGTAGTACTATCACAGGACGACCTTGAGAGTTAAACTTCAATCTTCAGTATCACTGTATTTAAGACACGCAACCAGGTTAATAAGAAGATACAAGTAATATAAAATGAACCTGAGTTTTTGAAGCGCACGTAAGCCTCTAATAGGCCTAATTAGTGCCATTCAGAACCAGTATATTTCTATTCAGCTTTTTTAATATGCGAGTATGTTGTTGCAGCTTCAAAATCATTTATTTAAAATATTTATTTAAACATCAGACAAACCTTATCTATTATGTTACTGCATGTTAATGACTAACGCAATTTTTCCTTAGTTTAACAGTAAAATTCTGGTTTCTAAAGAGAACCCACATTTTATAATTAAAGTGCACATAGTGTTCTTTTGGTACTGTACACACCGTGAGTGAGTGAAAAACAAAATCAGTAATCACCCAAATTCATGTATGACACAATGTATTCCCGTTGATAGAGGAGAATGGCCACATGCACAATAGGTACATCCACTGGTACATTGGAGAATGATAATGATATAAAGCTACATTTCTATCAGGTAGTTTGTTAATGTCACAAAAGTATTTAGAGTAAAAATGACCTAAAAAATGTCCCCTCAAGTCATCCAGAGTATTGACTTTATTCTCAATCATTTGATTCAGCCTATTGAAATAAAGGCACACTCCAAGCACCATAATGACTGTAACACTGGTTATGATGTCATGTGTAACCCCACACTCTCCTATAGTAAGCAGTCTTTAAAGGGACATTATAAGCACCCAGTCCACTTCATCTAAACAAAGCGGTCAGGGTGCAGTGGCCCTTTTACTCTAATCTTGCAATGTAAAACAGTGTTGTTTCTACAAAGCTGCCTTGTTTCCATTGCAGGATTAAAACAAATGTCTAGTGGCGATAATACGGACAGCCACTAGAAGAGCTTACTCTGCAAAATCTCAGTCTTTTGACCAATGCAGCTCATAGGAAAAATTTTAATTCATTCTTTCCTACTAGAAGCACAGCGCATCAGTCCCCAGTGCTCCTCTTAGCGGAGCATTTAAACCAGACAATCTGTTAAATCACACTGCGGGAGGCAGAGCGGCCGGTTATGCTATGGGAGCCTCCATGCTAAAGACACCTAAACCTAATTCACAGCTAGGAATCCTTCGTATTCAAATCGCTATAGTGGTCCTTTAAAGGGATCCTATAGTGCCAGGAAAACAAACACGTTTTCCTGGCACTATAGACTCCTGGAGTGCCCCCCTCCCGAAACCCCTTCAGCCACTTACTTGAATTTAACGCTGATATCCCTCTGTGCTGGTTTAGGCTCCACCCACGCTGCTCCCCCACTGACGTTAAAGACCTAATGCGCATGCGCGGCAATGGCCGCGCGCATTAGACCTCCCCACAGGAATGCATTATTCAATGCTTTCCTATGGGGAAAATCTGATGCTGGAGGTCCATAAGGACGTCCAGCATCAGATAACGGACTAAAACTCCATTACTAATCCAGAAGCGCCCCCAGTGGCTGTCAGACAGCCACAGAGGGCAAACTTCAAGGTGCAATGTAAACATTGAAGTCCTCTGGAACTGCAATGTTTTACATTGCAGCACGAAGAGCAAAAGGGAAACAGCACCCAGACCACCTCAATGAGGATAAGTGTCCCTTTAATATCAATGGATTTTTTGCCAGAGATGTGACCACTTCTGTATTGACAGTTGTGTCAAATTGATACACTTGGGATAATGTCTATTTAGGAAGACCAATTCTAACTTCCCTCATCGTGAGATAATATACTACAGCAGACATCCAAGGCTATATCAAAAGAGGTATTTGGAGTCTCTTCATGTCAATTGCCAAGTGAAGCAGGGAAAATCCAATGTAATAGCCAAGTATACATAGCATGACAAGCCATATTCAAACAGTGCTACCATTACAAAAAGCCTATCGACTTATATAGCTCCAACATGTAGAGATTAATGTAAACAGAAAGGATAATAAACTCTTATTCATTTTAATTCTCCTTTTAAAAGTAATTCCTTTTGGAAAAATCAAACATACCAATTCCATGCCATAAATAAACTCTAATATAGGGGTGCCCAAAAGGAAGATCCCCAGATGTTTTAAAACTACAACTTCCATGATGCTTTGTCATTTTAATGACAAGCAAAGCATCATGGGAGTTGTAGTTCTGCAACATCTGCGGACCTACCTATTGGGCACCCCTGCTCGAGTAAGTCCTGTGATGATTAATGTAATTATTCTAATGCCCTATGAAATGCCATGCTACGCTGCACAGTCATTTTAGAGCAAATAATGCACGCTTTGTAGCTCCCCACGCTCCGATCTCTCTGCCCCAATCACTAAACATATGTTAATTACCAATTACTGCTTTTAAATGACTACTGAAGGAGGAAACCAGCAATTTGCTGTTCGGATTTCCCTATTCTGAACAACATGACTCCTTAAATACTTTCAACTCTACTGCTTTATCTCCGAAAATAACGCAGCCATGTGAAAACTGCGTTCACTGGGACATTCCAAAAGCCTTAACGATCTAAATTACAATTTATGATAATACTGCTCATTGTGGCAAATAGTTTTTTCCTGCAACATACGAATAGTTGTAAAGTGATAGATATGTGGTAAGAAGCCATGCTTTCAATTTGTCAATAAAATTTGTGGAGACAGTTCTGTCATTGTGCGTCCGGCTCCTTCAGATTTTCATAGTATAACATACAATGCAATGTGAAAACCTTCTAGCTGACTGTTATTAATCTTGACATCTGAATTTTTCCAGTGTATAATATCCGCTTTAATAACTGCCACGCACGTCATTTCTTATGTTGTTTGGCATCCAGGGCACATTAACACAACCTCTGTTAGCCAACAATCTAGCATCCAGCAAAATATAAAATCACATATACATAATATGCAACAATGCTCTGAAAAATTCTAGCTGTAAAAACCAGCAATATGAGTAAGAAGTAAAGGAAGAGCTGTCTGATCGTGCCTTGGGGTTCAAACTAATAAAAAGAGACCAGATAAGTGAAACGGAAAAGAAAAAGGGAGGGGGGAAAAAAATAGCTTCAGCGACCTTTAGTGCACACAATACCATCTATGAACATGAATATAATAGAGCCTCGTTTTATTTAGGATTGTAACTGGGACAAAGAAATTACTGGATCGTACACAGCTCAGTAGCATTAACGGTAAGACTTTCTACATTCTATAGAATACCTACCCTCGTTCTATTTCATGGTCATCTTTGGATGGGTGTGATTAGTGCCATGATTTAATGATCTTATAGATCAGAAAACATACAACTTAACGATGCAATTAATGTTCAACAGAGAATGTATGCACGTTGCAAATTAAACCGCTGGGATCAGGAAATATAACTCGTGAAATATTATAAAAAATGAGTTGTGACAGTGACTGCAGTAATTCTCTAGTGACCTTTACAGACAGCGGGTCTAATGACCAACACTAAAGAGAGAAAAAATATATAACTTGTGTTCTGACATATTGGGCAATTTAGAAGGAATAACAGAATTTGGGATAAAGGAGAATCAAACACATTTGTAAACTGACCTGGAGCTGGGCACAGATAAACCACATCATGTGATCTCCTTAACTTTGACAGCTAACACATTACTGAATACAGTCAGTCACCACCACGGTGATGCCAATCACATGCTAACAGCCCCTCTTGTGCGGGGTCTACTTTTAATGGCTGCAAAATACGCCGGGCATTTTTAGAAGACATACACTATAATTGGCTGCGTTGACGAGTTAAACAAGGGAACTGTATCCATTTAAATTTCACGGATTTTCATCAACAAAAAAGGGGGGACCACTACAGGAAGAGATTTAATCATCTTTGTAAACAGCAAAGAGTAACAGGTAAAAGAATAAATTATATAATATATATATAGTTCTTTTGTGACTTAAACACTTTTCTAAATGAAGCATATTGGAAGCTTATTTGCAAGATCAGCCGTGGGCTAAACTTTTAAAAAGTACAGCAATAATCAGACATAGCAAGAAATGTCTTTGCTTTATAAATTTGCCTTAAAATTACATCTGTTTTTTTTGGGGTTTTTTAAACTCCATTGTGCCCACTTATTGGTAATTGTTCTCTGCAGAATTTATCTACAATTCACATTACATTTGTTTTACTAACAAAAATCTTGTTTTGCAACAAAAATACACATGTGATTAGCAAACATAGCATACTGAGATGTAACTATATATACTGATCGTGCAGGCCTACAGAGCGTTGAATTATAAACAATCAAGAGTTTCATTTACTAAACTGAAGGCAAAATAGTATAACTGGAAAATGTCATAACTATTAAATTTGCCAGCATGACAAGTTTAAATTTTGCAATTTAGTGGTTTATGGGGGTTTTTTTATGCACAGAATAAAGACATTTCCATTAATGCTATATAATGCTTTTAAAAATTCTTCGTCGTTTACTTTTTAGACAGCAAACTCTGCAGTTTATTTATTCTTGTCAAAGACCTTGTTTGCTTGTTTTTTTCCGTACGAACACTGAATCGCAGCTAAGCCAATAATGCCATTCTTTGGGTGGATGAAATGGACAAAAAGTGAATCTGACAAGTCTACACAATATTCTGGGTCAGACATCGTTACGAAGACTTTATTAAGAGAATTGCAATGGCACCTGGGTGAGCGTGAACGCTTGCTGCATGAAATTGAAAATGAACAGAAGGTCCAAAAACCAGGAGTGGATTACAACTGGATAAGGAACGACCACAGCTTAAAGCCAAGTATTCCCGTCACCGAACAAAAGCAGCTGGAGGTTTTGTGTTCTCAGATCCAGCCATGTCACACAGGAATAGTGCTAAGCAGGTAAGAAATTTTTTTTAACTAGATTTTAAAATGTTGTTGCATAAAATATATATATATATATATTTTTTTTTTTTTTTAAACTGCCTGTGTGATCTGCCTAGGTTAGCAGATTTTAAAATATTAAATGTGTGTTAGAATTTTATATTTCTTGAAAATAAATATATATATATATATATATATATATATATATATATATATATATAAAAAAAACAAGCCTAATAGTAGCAGCATTTTTAGAGATGAATAATGTACAATCACATTTCTACTATTTACTCATTGAGAAAAAAAAAAAAAAACATTTGCACATGAATAGGTTTTACAGAATTCTTCATTATATAAAATATTGCCTTTTAATGCCTTTACAAGCTTTACCCTATAAATATTCACTTGGGGTCTTTCTTTAACTCACAGCAAACATCAAACGTGACGTTTTCACAGGCTGATACGATCAATATAATTTACAGCTAAATAAAACAATGAAAGGGATTGTATATTTTAATGTGTGTTTAGATGACCCCGTGTTGGGCAACTAATGTAGAATTCTGAAACAATAAGGAAAAAAAAGTCCGGATTCTTTAAACATAAAAATATTATCCGGTAGCCAAGGGTTTTGAAATCAAATACATGGGCACCTGGTCTAACTAGATGCCATCGTGACAATGCCTAAGAAATCTGTCAAGCTCTGAAAGGGTAGATATATTTTACATAGCTAGCATACTTACTTAGCATGCCTAGTTTGGACCAAATGAGTAACTTCTAAGCTAATTAACACCAAAGAGCTTACATACATCTGTTACTTCCATGTTTTTAATGGATGGTTTTCTTTTAAATCTGATATATACTAAATGTTAGAAGGATGTACATTGTGAACAAACCGAGCAAAGCCTGTTTACAAAAGATAGAGATTTATTTATTTGACCTCAGGCAAGTGAGAGAACCCAATGGCTGTATTTTTTAAATTTTATGGCCAGAAAATAGCTACTTATACATAGTTCTAAATGATATATATGTAATAAGAAGCAATCTGAAACAGACACCATTATAAACAAAAATTGGTGTTTCAAATGTTTTGGTTTTACAGTAAATAGCAATAAAAAAAAAGTCTAACAAATTTCCTTAATATAATTTGTAGATTTCGTGAAGTTCTGGCAGAAAACGATGTGCTACCTTGGGAGATAGTGTACATATTTAAGCAAGTTTTAAAGGATTTCCTGAATTCTCTAGAAAAAGAAAGTCAACAGGTGAAGCTCATGGATATGTGGAACGCCAACTGTACCGTCAACTTTATGATACCAAGCGACAGCCCATCTAATTCACACAAGGAAGAAATCCCCACAGTTTCAAGCTATGTTGACAGAAACACTCAGAGTTTATTCCCAAGTTTCTCCCATCGAATATGGAATCTGCCATACTAGCATCCTTCAACATAAAAAACAAAATAATTCAGAAAAGATTCCCCCCTACTTCCTTTGAAAACTAGATCTTAAACAAAGTTCCTATGCATTGTTTATATGTAAATATACAAACCTAAAAAGCAATATTCTTTGTAGACAAGTATTGTAGCTATTTTTACATAACAAGTTGAGAAATAAAAACAAAGTAGGCTTGGCATTGTCCTGCATAGAACATATTTTTTGTATGTGAAACGTATGTAGATTACATATGGATGCATATAGTAAGTCTAGTTCTTTTATATGCAATAAGCGGTCTCTGTTTTTTATACAAATAGCAAAGAAATTGTTTGGCATTAGATAAGAGAGTAACGGAAATTAACAGGGCTTTTTTTATATACTAAAATTGGGTTAAAACACTGTTTTTGTGCACCTGTCATGAACACACACTTAAAACATAAGACTTTTTTTTTTTTTAAACCGAGATGCTGTCATATCATCATTATGCGGTAAGTATTTCCGGATACATGTTCTGTCCCTTGCTTTCTGGGATCAAACTTAAAGGGATCCTATAGTGCCAGGAAAACAAACCTGTTTTCCTGGCACAATAGGCTTCTGGAGTGCCCCCTTCCCTCGGGGCCTCCCTCCAGCGGGGCTGAGGGGGTTACAACCCCTTCAGCCACTTATCTGACTCGAGCACCGATATCCCTCGGCGCCAGGTCAAGCTCCGCCCACACTCCTCCCCCGGAATGGCCGCGTGCACATTAGAACTCCCCATAGGGAGGCATTATTTGATGCTTTCATATGGGGAAATTCTGACGCTGGAGGTCCTCGTGGAGAGCGTGAGGACATCCAGCATCAGATAACAGACCAAAAGTCTGTTTGGATTCCGGAAGCCCTCTAGTGGCTGTCTATTAGACCGCCACAGAGGGCAGACTTAAAGCTGCAATGTAAACATTCTCTGGAACTGCAATGTTTAACATTGCAGCACTAAGTGCAAAAGGGTCACAGCACACAGACTACTTCAATTAGCTAAAGTGGTCTAGGTGCCTACAGTGTCCCTTTAAATGCTCTGTAGCCAAAGCAGATTAATGCACAATAATAATAGTGGACTGGAAGATAACTGTGTAAAAATCTAAATGTAAAGTAAACATTAGTCATTACAGGGACACTATAGTCACCAAAGCAACTTCAGCTTAATGAACCAGTTTTTGTGTATAGATCATCCCTCTTAAATTTTACTGCTCAATACTCTGCCATTTAGGAGTTAAATCACGTTTGTTTCTGTTTATGCAGCTCTAGCCACACCTTCCCTGGCTGTGACTGACCGCCTGAATGACAACAAAATGGTTTCATTTTCTATCAGATGTTACTTTGAATGGGTTTATATCCTGCTCTGTGATTCAAACTTTAATTACATACAGAAGGTTTGTGCAGGATCTAGAAAACTATTAACAGAGCAAGAGACAAGAAATTCTATTTTAAATAGAATTTGCTATAAAGGAAGTGTAAACATTAGGTGACTCTTTACAGGAAGTGTTTTGGAAGGCTGTGTAAGTCACATACAGGGAGGTGTGGCCAGTGCTGCATAAACCTAGTGATTTTACTCTTAAATGGCAGAGAATTGAGCAGTGAGACTGCAGGGGCATGATCTATACACCCAAACTGCTTCATTAAGCTAAAGATTGTTGGTGACTATAGTGTCCTTTTAAGCTAAATTATTTTCAGCCTGAAATTACCTTTGTTACATTTTTAGATCACCCACTTTCAAAGACTAAAGCACAGTTAAATAAATAAAGTAATGAAATCAGGAATCATTATGTATTTATGCCCATTATTAGTCACATAGTACAGTACTAAAGTGATCTAACTTCAGGGTTAGCAGTTATATTCTGAGAAATGTCATCTCACACATTTCTCCTCCTGAGTTTAAAAAAAATTAAACCACCGAGTTTGGAAACTAATGGTAAGTAAAAAGCTCCTTCCTGGCTTATCATTGTACACAACTTATATATATATATATATATATATATATATTTATTTATTTTTTTATTTTTTTATTTATTTTTTTTGGTAAACGAAATCATCAGTACACTGTGCACTATGACTGCTAGGAAACAAAGGTTTTCTCAAAAGGAACACTCCCTGCGTCATAAACAGAAACCTTTCTTTGTAACACTGTAAAATGCAATTTAGATAATAGTGCACCCTCATAGTTTCCTAAAAAAATTAGGCAACTTGCCTATAATATGGCAGCAGGAGGGACCTCACCACAGCTGGTCTCTGCCTCCGGGAGATCATGACTTCTGATATTTCCCAGCCAAGCCAATATTTCTCAGAGGAGCATTGGGACGTGAGCCGAATTAAAGTCGAATGCTGTGCTTGCTATGCTTCTCTATGAATAGCCCTCATTCCCGCACCCTCTCTGCTGTTTGAATGATAGTCAGGATGGGTGCAACCCAGACACTTTATGAAAAGCGTCAATTTCTCCTAAAATCTGTGTTTTTAAAAAATAAAATAAAAATAAAAAAAGTAAAAAACGGACCACTGTGTTCATTTACTAAGTTATAAGGATGTTATGCGTCCTCGTTGTCAATCACTTCTTAGCCTAGAGTGCGATGCTGATAGCATGACCAGAAAAAAGGTAAGTATTTAACACCCAGGAGGTCCTGCATGATGGCATCAGCAGCAAGGGAAATTATTTCATTAATATTTCACAAAGCATAAGCATATTATTAACTTAAAATATGAAATTATTTCCACATGACAGACTGTACATTTATTTTTATTTTTTTTTAAATACCTCACCCAACATACTTTATAGATGTTGATCCAAGTTAATGATATGCTCTTTATTTGTCTTTGTTGTCTTAGAAGCCATGAAAAAAAAGAAAAAGTAACCTTGAATTAAAGGAACTTTATAGTCACCTAAATTACTTTAGTTAAATAAAGCAGTGTTAGTGTATAGATCATTCCCCCGCAATTTCACTGCTCAATTCACTGCCATTTAGGAGTTAAATCACTTTGTTTCTGGTTATGCAGCCCTAGCCACACCTCCCCTGGCTATGATTGACAGAGCCTGCATGAAAAAAAAAACTGGTTTCACTTTCAAACAGATGTAATTTACCTTAAATAATTGTATCTCAATCTCTAAATTGAACTTTAATCACATACAGGAGGATCTTGCAGGGTCTAGCAAGCTATTCACATAGCAGGGGATAAGAAAATCTTAATTAAACAGAACTTGCAATAAAGAAAGCCTAAATAGGGCTCTCTTTACAGGAAGTGTTTATGGAAGGCTGTGCAAGTCACATGCAGGGAGGTGTGACTAGGGTTCATAAACAAAGGGATTTAACTCCTAAATGGCAGAGGATTGAGCAGTGAGGCTGCAGGGGCATGTTCTATACACCAAAACTGCTTCATTAAGCTAAAGTTGTTCAGGTGACTATAGTGTCCCTTTAAGATGGATCCCCATATGTGGAAAATAAAGAGACAAAAAGTATAAAATAGTTTGTAGTTTTATTGCTAAATTTAAAAAAAGAAAAAAAACAAACAAAAAAAAAAAACACACAAAAAGCAACTTTGTAATGCTGAAATAAACCACTGTGGCTTTTATAGAAATCAATCCAAAGAGCCTGTACTGCTTAGTTATATGAAAGTAGGATTCACAACATCACAGGAGGAAACACTCATCGCGATTTTAATCTTGCAATTGTAGGAGTCCAAACAAAACTTGTACACACTTTGTAAACAACTTACAAAATAGACATACTATACTATAGATACATCTGGCCAGTAGAGAGCTCTGCTTATTAGTCTGGTCTATGGGGTCTGATTTTGTATCATTATTTCCTCTCCATTGCAGAATAGGTAGTTTATTCACCATAGCCGCTACCAGTTTATTCACAACCTAAGAGTTTCCCAGGCAAGAGAAAGAGATCCAACCTACTTGTGTGGGGAATGAAATGGATACACCTAAACAGCAAAAAATCTTCCTTCGTGATTTCAAAGCCAGGCTTATATCTGCAACAATCTTTACAAGTAACTGTAGGTGTAAGCCACTCACAACAGGGACAGTCAGTGCAGGGCGCTCTGTAGTTCTGATGCTTAGAATGACCTGTTAAGGTCCACTTACCTATTCGAATCAAGTCTGGGGGAAGAAAGAAAAAGCAGATCTTGGCAAACACCAATCTCATGGTGTCTCAGTTTTCCAGTCTCTATAGTTTACCTTTTTTGCATTATGAATAGCCTGGATCCTACACAGAAAATGGAAGTCTATCAATGGCAGAGAAGGACTGACAGTCACACCCCCTTTGCCACCCGAACACCCTAATAGAGCTCAATGAGAGGGGGAGTTAGAGGCAAGCACAACCCCAGCAAACAAAAAAGCAGGCCAAGATGTAGAGTGTCCAGAGACATGCACCCCCTCCCACACCAACGCTGTAGAACCACTGTCACCTAGACGCAGAGCAGCTGCTACAGGCAATAGATTTGATGATAGTGGGTCAAAGTGGCAGAAGTCCAACCATGGTTGGCAACAAAAGATGGCATATGGGGAACATCAATGGGTGGCCTACAACAAAAATGGATTTATTCCCCCAGTATTTGCAGGTGCACCTTGGTTTGGAGCTGGAGGAATCACTCCTGATCATCCACGTGGAGACTGTGAGGGAGTCAAGATCCAATTAAGGATTTCAACAGTAAGAATATCTATGCCAGGAAGGAAGCCTTGGACCTACCATGGCCACTTTATAGTGTGCCACATGTTGCTCAATCAATCCATAGCGCTAAAGGGGTATACTCAATGGTAGGGAATCCTGCTGTCCTAAAGCAATGGTGAAAGGGTATTTCTAAAGGTAAATGCACAAAATGTACATTCCACGGGTAGTGGATGCAGTGTGTTTAGACAGGGGAGCTGTGTGTATTTGTGTAGTGGATGCAGTGTGTGTTTGTGTAGTGTGTGTGTAGTGGATGCAGTGTGTTTGTGTAGTGGATGCGGTGTGTGTAGTGGATGCAGTGTGTGTTTGTGTAGTGTGTGTGTTGTGGATGCAGTGTGTGTTTGTGTAGTGGATGCGGTGTGTGTTTGTGTAGTGTGTGTGTTGTGGATGCAATGTGTATTTGTCTAGTGTGCGTAGTGGATGCAGTGTGTATTAATGTAGTGTGTATATAATGAAAGCAGAGTGTTGTGTAGTGTGTGGGTAGTGTGCGTAAAGTGAATGCTGTATATACTAAATGCAAAGTGTGTGTATTTGTGTAGTGTGTTTTTTTTATAATGCAGTGTGTGTGTTTGTATGGTGTGTATATAATGCAGTGTTTGTGTAGTGTGCATTATATACACACACACTGCATTATATAAGCACAATACACAAACACACACACTGCATTATATAAACACACTACACAAACACACACTGCATTATATAAACACACTACATTATATAAACACACTACATTATATAAACACACTACAATATATAAACACACTACAATATATAAACACACTGCATTATATACACAGTGTGTTTGTGTAGTGTATATAATGGAGTGTGTGTTTTTGTATAGTGTGTGTATGTAATAGGGATCGACCGATATTGATTTTTTAGAGCCGGTATCGATAATCTGTTAACTTTCAGGCTGATAGCCGATAACTTGCCAATATTCTGTACATTTACCATTTTGAAAAAATAAACTATTTCTAAAATGTAAATGTACAAAATATAAAAGCCACATGCACTGGATGCAGTGTGTTTAGACAGTGGAGCTGTGTATATTTGTGTAGTGTATATATAATGAATGCAGGGTGTGTTTGCGTAGTGTGTATAGTTAATGCAGTGACTGTGTAGTGTGTATATAATGAATGCAGAGTGTGTGTTTGTGTAGTGTGTGGTGTATAAAGGGAATGCAGTGTGTGAAGTGTGTGTAACGTGAATGCAGTGTTTAGTGTGTATAGCGAACGCAGTGTGTGTATAGCGAATGCAGTGTGTGCGTAAAGTGAAAGCAGTGTGTTTGTATAGTGTGTGTATATAATGAATACAGTGTGTAGTGTGTGTATATAATGTAGTGTTTGTAGTGTGTGTGTATATATGATGCAGTGTTTGTAGTGTGTGTGTATATATAATGCAGTGTTTGTAGTGTGTGTGTGTATATATATAATGCAGTGTTTGTAGTGTGTGTGTGTATATAATGCAGTGTGTGCATTAAACACACACACTACATTATATAGACACACACTGCATTATATACACACACACACTACAAACACTGCATTATATATACACACACACACACTACAAACACTGCATTATATATACACACACACACACACACACACTACAAACACTGCATCATATATACACAGACACACTACAAACTACATTATATACACACACACACTAAATTATATAGACACACTACACTATATACACACTCTGCGTTATATACAGATTGTGTAGTGTGTGTGTATATAATGCAGTGTGTGTGTGTTTTCCTGAAGGGATGTGATTTGTGTAAAATGGGGGGGTGGGGGGAGCATTTTATTATATACACAGTGTGTTTGTGTAGTGTATATAATGGAGTGTGTGTGTTTGTATAGTGTGTGTATGTAATAGGGATCGACCGATATTGATTTTTTTAGAGCCGATATCGACACCGATAATCTGTTAACATTCAGGCAGATAGCCGATAACTTGCCAATATTCTGTACATTTACCATTTTGAAAAAAAACTATTTCTAAAATGTAAATGTACAAAATATAAAAGCCACATGCACTGGATGCAGTGTGTTTAGACAGTGGAGCTGTGTATATTTGTGTAGTGTATATATAATGAATGCAGGGTGTGTTTGCGTAGTGTGTATAGTTAATGCAGTGACTGTGTAGTGTGTATGTGACTGTGTAGTGTGTATATAATGAATGCAGAGTGTGTGTTTGTGTAGTGTGTGGTGTATAAAGGGAATACAGTGTGTGTAGTGTGTGTAACGTGAATGCAGTGTTTAGTGTGTATAGCGAATGCAGTGTGTTTGTATAGTGTGTGTGTGTGTGTATATAATGTAGTGTTTGTAGTGTGTGTGTATATATGATGCAGTGTTTGTAGTGTGTGTGTACACACTACATTATATAGACACACACTCATACTACAAACACTGCATTATATATACACACACACACACTACAAACACTGCATTATATATATATATATATATATATATATATACACACACACACACACACTACAAACACTGCATCATATATACACAGACACACTACAAACACTACATCATATATACACAGACACACTACATTATATACACACACACTAAATTATATAGACACACTACACTATATACAAACTCTGCGTTATATACAGAGTGTGTAGTGTGTGTGTATATAATGCAGTGTGTGTGTGTGTTTTCCTGAAGGGATGTGATTTGTGTAAAATGGGGGGGTGGGGGGAGCATTTTTTTATTTAAATTTTTAATGTTTGTTTTATTTTATTTTTTTATATTTATGTTTATTTTTATTATT